CATACATAAGCCAGTAACAGAGGCATTTGTTACGACTCTCAAGGCATAACTAGTACAAATTATGTATGTACTGCACTATTGTGTGCCTGGCAGCACAACTGCATCACCTATGCAAGAGACATGACACACATGTGTTGCGTGCAGGAGCTATTGTGCTTGCTGCGTCTGGATGTGTCTGCTCCACCCCCTTCTTGACTTGGAATCTCTGAACTTTATAACCTCATGGGATGACAGACATATATGTGGCCGGGCATCACCTGAATGGATATTATATTTGAATGACTGCATTTTGTTTTCCTCAGTAAGAGATACATTTAGGTTTCTTCCAATAGCTACCCACAGTCCAATGAGAATCACTTCCTCACTGAACTTCCAAGGCTTCCTGACTTACATATTAGACCTAGGCTTTTCCTCCATGTTGATATCAATACCCACCCAGGCCACCACTTGAGTCGGAACTAAGCCTTCAGGCAACAGCCGTCACCTCAAACGGCCTTTCCTATAGCTTGTTGCGTCACCGGCTGACTCATTTCCACTTTCTCCCAGTCTTAGGCAAATATGCTTGTTTTTTTTCTTCAATCTCTCCCTCACACTCACACTACTCTGTTCTCTCTCTCTCTCTTTCTCTCTTTCTTCTCTCTCCTCTCTCTCTCTCTGTGTGTGTCTCTATTGTTTCCATCTCTCTGTTTCTCTCACTCCCTCTATTCCCCATCTTTCTCTTATTTTCCCCTAAATTTGATTCTACTGTAATATTCAGGAATCCCTAAAATTAACTGCTAACTGCTAAAGAAACACCAAAACTCCCGTGTTGTTTTCCTCTTCGCCCACTGAGAAGCAGGATATGTGTTTTTCATGCATCATTTAGAAATGCGGGCTAACTAAGCACTTGCCCTTCCCCTCCTGTGCAGAGAAGTGCAGCTTTTGTGTGTCAGCAAGAGGCATCCCTCCTGTTGGCCCATTTTTTTTGAATCATTCCCGGGACACCTGACACATGCCCTTCAGAGTTCTACTTCCTTGTCCAACAGTAGGAGGCAGGAGGCGACTCTTAAGTGTTTCATCAGCACAATGCTGGGGACTGAGTAGGATGGACCTTCTCAAGGCCATCAATCTGCTTTCACCCTGAATAGTCAAAAGGGAAAACTGTAACCAAGCAACACTGGTTCTGTTACAGGAAGCGAAATGTTCACCCCTTCCTATCTGAGTTGCTCTCCCTCCCCCCAGTGGAAACCCTGCCAAGTATCTTCATCTTATTTTATTTTATTGTGCTTCAGGTGCAAGTTTCCAGAGCAGAGTTTATTTTACATTCAACATTTCGTATACATTTGGTTTCACTCCCCAATTACCGTCCCCAACCCTAATTCAGTCTCCACCCTCCCTGCCCAGTAACCTCCCCCATGCCCCTCATAGTTGCATACTGCTTTGTGTCTTGCATTTCCTCCGTGTGAATGTTGCCCCTCTGGTGCCCCGTGGTCGATTGCTGCAAGGGATGCATCTCCACAGAGTATATGGGTGAGGTCACCCTGGGTTGAGTGGTCTGCGTGTACATCTTGTTTACTATTGGGCTGAGAGCCAGCCCCTGGGAGTGAGTTTTATTCCAGCCTGCCAACTATCTTTAAAAAAGGGAGAGAGATCCATTCATAGAAAACCTTTTTACAATTTATTTCCTGTTATCGATCTTTAAAATATAAAAAGGAGGCTCTAGCTAGATGGAGGCAGTCAGCAGTGAAAGTGTGACCATGCAAACAAATAAATAAATAGTTACAGTCTTTAGCAAACAAATGAACTTCCATCCACTTATACAAGAAGCTTGGTTTAAAAAAAAAAAAAAAACATAAATAATTTACAGAAAAATATGGTACATTCTAAATATTAACAGCATCGTGCCCACACCATTATATTGTTTGACCAAACAGAAAGGCTGCACATTCTTGATGATGTTACATTTAATGAAGTCCCTGAGCCCTTCATTGGTCTTGGGACTATAGTTCCACAAAAAGAAAAAAGAAAAATAGTAAGAAGTGCAGCAAAAGAAAACAAAACCAAAAAATCAACCTCAAAAGACACAACAGAGATATTTTATCGAAAAAAAGTAAATGTGTAATTCAGACAAATGCTATAAATGCTTTCTATTAAACACAGAAATGAGACCACTATTAACAAAATGGGAGAGTCACCCCATATCACACAGACAGCACAGACTTCTCTTACTAAATCCCAAATGCAAGAGTATTAACTAGTATTTCTTGCAGACAGACAGTGCAACTTAAAGCAAAAATGAAATCTAAATTGTGTGTATTACTGCATGGCTGATTAATCAGTGTGTGTGGTCACAAGGAACTACTGGTACTCCTTTAGTATTCAAATTAAAAAAAAAAGAACATCTGACATACAGCAGACAGATAACTGTAAAACATCTTATATTAAAATTACTGACAATAGTATATATTAAGGTTCCATTTATAAACTCTTTGTTATTATTTATTTCTTCTATTACATATTATGGGAGCTCTGGTGGGATAGTGCCTAAGGCATTTGATTGCTAACCAGAAAGCTGGTGGTTCAAACCCACCAGCCACTCTGTGGAAGGAGACTCCATGAAGATTTACTGCCTCAGAAGCCCATTGGAGGTCTCTATGGGTCAGAGTCGACTCGATGACAGTGGTTTGGTTTGGTTTGGTATAACATGTGACAGCATGCTTTATCATGACAACATAACATTATTAAGCCTCGTATGTGGGCAAGCATGTTTCTTGCTATAACTGTATCTGTGTATTATGTAAGTTTATTTATAGGAAGTATACTACGTATTACTTGACACATCTAAAATAAGTTACTGGTGAGTGGGGCTGCATTCTATAGTCATTCAATAAATATTAACAAACATTTATAACTGGAACCTTAATGGAATGTGTTAGCAAATCAGGTAAAAGCAACTTTCCCACAGTTTCCAAAGCCAAGAATAGCGATCATCTGCTGAAGTGCGTCTGCTTCTGGGTCTGCTTGTCCGGTGCCTCGTGCCAGAGAGTGGGCTTTGCTGGCCCCAGGCTCCCATCTAGAACACAGTTCGATTCCTTCCCTTAAGGCTCTCCCTTCCTTGGTTCAACTACATCTCTGTATAACACAGGGGGTTTCGTTGTAGAAAAGGGGAATGTGGGCGTTCATTTATTTTTGTAATTATTTTTTATGTTCCAGTTAGTTCACTGATATCGTCCATCATTTGAAATCATGATTATTATCTTCTAACATGTTCCTTGCTAGGGCATCACTTCAAGCTTGCATTGATGCTGTTTTGTCATTGACCTAATAGGACTTGTGTGTTACTGTGACAGCTCTCATCCAGGCACAGTGACAACATTAAGCAACAGAAGTGCTTTAGCAATATTTTTCCTGCTTAATTTATGATAAAGGTATATGCACAATATTCCTTTCAACTTCATATACACATAAATACAAAAAGTAATTACATTTTATATGTAAACGTCTTTCTTTTTAAACACACAAGAAAAAACAATGCATGTCATACTCAAGTTCCACTGTGCACAGAGTCACATACACTATCAGACTGTTTTCTCTTAGTGGGCTGGATGTTTGTCTTTGGGGTCCATTAATATTTATCCACTGAAGGCACTTGGGCTGGGGCTGATGACAGGAGGTGAATAACCACTCAGAGTTAAGGGCAAGGAGCAGGAGGTGCTGCTAAGAGAGAGAAGCTGCAAGTACCACGATGGACTGAGGTGTCTGGGTAACAGCATGTACAGTACATGGCCAGAGATGCAGCAAATACCATTTAGACATCTAGAAGAAAGGAAGAGATAGGCTGAATTAGGGTAATAGGATAATAGTTTTTTGTTTTTGTTTTTGTTTTTTACCTAAAACCTAAAGCATCATCATTTTAATTTTAAGAATAACATCCACAATATATATGGATAGATGGATGGACAGATGGATGGATACACGAATACATGGATGGATGGATGGATAGATAGTTGGTGGGTGGATGAATGGACGGAAAGATCTTTAAAGGTAACTTAACACAGGGAAAGGAAAACTTTACCAGAAACAAGAAGAGCAGTCAAATTCTGGTCTTCATTTTATGTCTGTACTGTCTCTGCGCATGCCAATGTGGGATTTTTGAGATATGTCTCTGAGCCTGTTGTTGTTTGTTGTTGTTGTTTGCCGTCGAGTCAGCCCCGACTCGTAGCGACCCCTCCTTGGGTTTCCGAGGCAGTATCACTACAGAAGTAGGATTGCCCAACCTTCCTTCCAAGGAGTGGCTAGTGGGTTTGAACCGCCAGCCTTCTGGTGAGCAGTCAAGTGCCTTAGGCACTATGCTACCAGAGCTCCCACCTCATCTACAGAAAGGGAATGCTTTCATGTCTGGTTGAAGGCATGGCGCTGGATCAAATGGGACCTTGATTTCCCTTGCTAGGTCTATAACCAGCCACTCCTTGGAAGGAAGGTTGGGCGATCTACTTCCGTAGTAATACGCCTCAGAAACCCAAGGGAGGGGTCGCTATGAGTCGGGGCTGACTCGATGGCACATAACAACAACAACAACAACAAAGTCTATAATAATATGACTCAAATATGCTCGAGACAAATAACTACAGAGAAACTCACGCTTCCTTTCTCCCTTCTTCCCTGTATCCCTCCCTACCTGCCTTCCTTTTTCTCTTTTTTTCTTTCTTAATTTGTAGCAAGGGTAGCAATCTAAAATTCCTTTAAGGGGCCAGCAGGTAAGGGTATAGGATACAGTAAAATGGGGAGGGGCAGGGAGTAACTGGAAAGTGGATGTCCCTCCAAAAGTCACTCAAAATCAATTTAAAATAAACAAGCAAACAAAGAAACAAAACAAAACACTGGCCAAATAAAACCTGTGCCAGGAATGGGCTCCCAGTTTATCATGTCCATGTATAGCTTCTGTGAAAGGTAAAGTAAGTGGGTATTCCATCCTGTCCGGTGAGTGCCACCCCACCCCCTGCAGGAATCCTTACACCCACCTCTGCATTCGTATCTGAGGTCCGAGAAATAGACCATCTCTTGAGAGAAGACAAACAATCCCAGTCGCCCACCAGCGTAGGTGTTGTCATAGATGGGCCCTGAGTCAGCCATGACCTGCTTTCCTTCATGTACCAACACTCTGCAAAGGGAAAAGAGGAGAGGAATGAGACATGAGAACTCTGTGGAGTGGATCACCAAAGGCTGGGCAGGCAGTCTGGTATGAGGTGGTGGCAAGGGAGAGTCTGAGGGTCTTGGCTGAGAGTCAACATACCTAGGGAGGGAGCGGACTGCTTACTTTCTCCTATTCTCTCCTTATAAGCACAGGTCAGCCATTATGCAGCACCACTCAATGTTCTCCTGGCTCTTAACTCATCTCAACACACCAGTAATCATGGCCCAGCAGTCACCACAAAAGGTGACCACAGCCTTTGCTTTTGAGAACCCACAGTTGGGTAGTGGGAAGAGCTTCCTTGGTCTCCCCCAGGTGTAGCCAGGTGTGTCCTTCTATCCAGCCAAGTGCTATTTTGTCTACATGCTCTCGTACTTCTCAGGCCTTCACCTGGGACTAAAATCACAGATCACCTGGGTTTCTCTCACTGGACTGTAAGTGCTTGATAGCAGGGACATGGTCCCCATCCAACATGGCTAGGATGGGCCGTAAACCATTATCTCATGTACCACAGAGAGATCTGTACGAGCTCACCTGCCAGGTACAGTACGGCTTCCTTGATGAAGCAGTACGAGAATGGAAGTTTCTCCAAAGAGACAGTATGACCTGCACAGGTGAATTTATACCTACAAAGGACTAGCACACTTCCAGCATCCATAGAACTCCAACCAGGTCTTGGTTCTTATTAACTAAGTCTAACGTTGCACACAAAGGTTTTCCAATGCTATTTTTTCCACATTTTCTTTCAGTCAAAATTTATTATAAATGCTATCAACCCAAGAGAACAAAATTCTACAGAGTTGATATCTGTGAAAATTTTATTCAAATATGTTTTAAGTTAGGGTTAGGGTTAGGGTAAGGCACTTGACTGCTAACCAGAAGGCTGGCAGTTCAAACCCACCAGCCAATCCTCGGAAGGAAGATAGGGCAATCTACTTCTGTAGTGATACTGCCTCTGAAACCCAAGGAGGGGTTGCTATGAGTTGGATCCGACTCGACCATGACAACAACAACAACAACAACAATGTTTTAAGTTCAGCCATTTTTAAGTGTCAGCAATAAATATGAATCTGTTCTCCAAATTATGCACCTGCTAATATTGCAAAGATGCAGTTATTTTAGTTGCACTTTCTCTCCTGCGCCCAGGGCAGGAGTTAGGAGAAAGAGTTCATCACTTTCCAAATGACTTTAACAAGACAAGTCTTAGATTCTCCTCTTCGACAATATTTTTAGAAATAAATAGGCATATAGTAGAGATAGGCAACAGAAAAGACAGGGTGTGTAAAAATGAACAATCTGGAGAAGAACACACACATTCGAATTCATGTTGGTTAAGGTTGGAGGTTCGAGGCCACCCAGAGGCACCTCAGGAGAAAGGCCTGGTGATCTACTTCCAAAAATGCAGCCACTGCAAACCCTGCAGCGTGCAGTTCTGCTCTGACAAACACTTTAGCACCATAAGCAGACTCACCTCAACAGCAACTGTTGGGCTGTTTGTCTGTCTATTCATATTTCAAAAATGTGTCTATTAATATTTACATTTGCCATCAAATGGAAAGAATGGTAATTCCTGGAGTGAGAATTGTCTGATAGAAACGTGGAAGGAACCGAGGTGCTCTCACCTTATGTAACCCGTCCTAGGTCTGTGAGTCAGATGCCACCGGTAGGCTGTGTAATCTTTCCAGCCAATATTTTTGGGGTCATGCCATAATGTTCGCACCTGGGAAGGAAGGAACCATCTCAACTGAGTGCAGTCAGCCCCCTGGGTTTAACAACCCCTCATCACACCAATGGGGAGACACAAAGTCTTTGTGCAAATGAGTCCTCTATGTAAACGAGTCCTCAGTGTTCATGTGGGTGCCTCTCTTTGGTGTACCCTGTCTCTGGTGCATTTCACAGGACCACTTCTGGGTGGTTCTAACCTGTTAGTGGGAAGCAGCACGGCCCAGTGCGAGGACCCTCGGCTTAAGTCAGAGTCATGGCCTCATCTCTGCCTCTGCTGCTTTCCTGATGAGGACCTTGGGAAAATTCGTAAATGTTTTTAAGCCCAGTTCTGCCTATCTCTAGAACTGGGCAGAAATATGTTTACTTTGCAAGAAGATTGCCAACTATGCTCATAAAAGCAGAAGGCACAGCACCCTTCCTAAAGCAAGCCCTCAGCAAGGCTTGACTATACTTAGCGTGTTTGAGCCCATTGAGCCCACTAGGCACAGACTCTCAAAGGACCATGAAGGTGAGTCAGGACCGGACAGCATTTCTCTCTGTTACACATACGATTGCCATGGGTCAGAGCCAACTCAACAGTAACTAACAGCAACAAAATTATTGCTGTGACATAGATAAAAATAGACAAAAACAAAAGCTGGGTTGTCTTTGGAATGGAGGAAGGAGAAGCCAGGCTACTCGCCTCATGTCCCTCACCTGCCCCTCCGTGTTCCCCGTGTGCCACAGTGCATTCCTCAGGTGCTCGCCTGTGCCCGTTGTGGAGTTGACCACTTTGAGGGACACCCCTGAGTAGCCATACGCCCGTGTGGGCTTGTCCTCCCAGTAGGTTTGAGTGACTTGCTTCCACATCACCACGTAGAACCTGCTGCTGGACTGATAGCCGAAGACAAAGCCAGCGTAATCGTCATCCCGGTCAGTATTGACATAAAACGTGCCACTGAAGTCCACAGACCCAAATTCATCGAAACCTGGACTCAAAGGGGAAACATTCAGTCACAAAAGTAGTTAGAAACACTGTCTAGGGAGATTCCCAGATTACCCCTGGAATCACATGAATGCTGGTATGAAGAAGTTGGGATGGACTTCCTTCCTCCACCTAGCCATGTTCTGTTGTGAGTTTCATGAATTTTTCCTGATTGATTTTTTTTGGGGGGGAGAGAAAATTCCATTTATAGCATGGGGGGGATTTTTCCATATTATATAATAGATATTTTAAAGGCCAATTCCAAAACTGAACACACATGGTGGTTACCATGGGTTGGAATCAGCTTTGGAAAAGCAAACTCATATGTCCCCAAGTTCTACCCTAGTTATTTATGCAGACAGTTCTGCACACCAAGAGGGGATGGGGGCTACCAGACAGACCACACCAAACCTATCCCCCTGATTTTAAAGAGCAGCCTGTGTGCCTGCACACACCATCCATGCTGGGATCACCATCATCTCACAAACAGTATCTTAGAGGCTCACCTACAGCGATGCCAGGGTCAGAGTTGGCCGTCTGAACCAGCTCCTTGCCTTGATGACGGATGACCCAGTTGGGGTCGATCTGAGTGGTGCCTTTGGGATCTAGGTGGACCATCTGGAAGTTCCTGAAGTCAGTCTCACTGATGGCATTGTTCTCAGGACACACATCATCAATATCTGGTACACTGTCATTGTCAAAGTCATCTTTACAAGCATCACCCCGCCCATCCCCTATGCACAAAGAACAAGACAGAAATAAGAAGGTAGAGTGAGCTGTTCATCATTGACCTTTCTGTGTCCAAGACAAGTTGGCCCATCATCCTAGGAAAATTGAAGGTGAAACAGTTTGTGGTGTTTTGTGGATCAGTGCTTGGTGAGCTCTCAGACTTTAGCTTGTATGCCAGGAGGAGTGTTGGCACTGTTTTGGAAACATGGCTTTGGTGAGCAGCAGCAAAGGAGACATGAAGTCAAATCCCACCAGAGACATTTCTCACTTCATTCTGACTCAACATTTCAACATTGGCATGTGAGGTCTGATGGCTGTCAGGTAATAGCAGCTCAATTTGCAACTTTTCACTCTGCTGGTTTCCAGAACATCTAACACCACCTTTCTCTGGTATCTCTGCCTGTAATCTACCTGGTATTTAAGGCACAACCCTTGAACTAAAATTGATTTTTCTTGGGGAAGTATCGTCTCCTTTTTTTTGGAAATTACTTTCAGATTTTTCAGGGAGGTAAGAGCTTGGAGTGTGGGGTAAGTGGTCCATATACAACCCTGGTCCATGTGGGAAATGAACCATGTTGCCTCAGCAGCTATCCAGTCCCCTCATAATGATGATCATCCTATAGCCTCTGAGCAAACTAGTGCATGTTAGTGCCCGTTGTTTTAGACAAAGATACCAAGTCTGGCTGACGCTCCCATCACATTCTTTGAAGAACTGTTCAGTTCTTTTCAATCACCTGCACTGCACATCCACTGAAGTAGTCCCGTACCTGGGCATTTCCCTTTCATCCTCATCTTCCTGGATAAAAGGTCAGCTCTGCTCCAGCTGGTGGCAGATCCATCACCCTCCACAACCCCCAGCTGTGTAATCTTGGACTCATCGATCTTAATTGGCCCTTCCTGGCTCCTCCAGGCTGCACTGTGGATTTTAGAGTTTTCCCTTGTCTTTCTAAGTCCCTCATCTTATTTATTAAGGACCTGCGTCCCAGGGAGTCCACTGGAACTGGCCAGAATTCTCACTAAGACACTCTTTACATCTCCAACTACAAGCCAAATGGCCACAAACAGCCACCAAGCCCAGCTGTGTCCCTCATTTGTTTTGTGGAGATAATGGTATAAAAGGCTGTAGCCTCCTGGTGGTCTTAGCCTACTCAAGCCCCATGTTGCTAAGGACCCTGATTTACATAGCACTGGATTACATCACTGTTTTCCCTTCATGGTCCATACTCCTACCATTGTAGTTTGCTTTGCCCTTAAAAGAGTAAGTTCCCAGTGACTTCACTGCTTTGTGCTGTTTATAACTGATTGTTTCTCTCTTAGAGATTGCCCAAAGATTACTATAAAGAAGCTGACACCTTCCCTCATCCCAGCATACACAAGCAGACCCCTGAGGCACATTACCTGTTGAATAACACACAGAAAGAGCCAACAGTACACTGAGCAGGCCAGGCAGAAATAGGAACAGACCCTGTATCCATCATCTGGAGACTAGGGGAGACCACATCTCCCCACCAGGAGTTTATGATGAGCACTGCTTGTGCAGAGGGGTTCACTGAGCAGTGTCCACTGTGCTGCAGGGCTCAGAAATAGCACCTACCATCCGAGTCCTCCTGCTCTGGGTTGGAGACAAGTCGGCAGTTGTCTCTGTCATCGGGAATGCCATCGTTGTCATCATCCGAGTCACATGCATCACCCTTGCCATCATTGTCATGGTCAGCCTGGTTGGCATTGGAGATGTAGGGGCAGTTGTCCTGGTTATTTTGGTGGCCATCCTCATCAATGTCCTCATTGTTGTCACACTGGTCCCCAACGAGGTCATTGTCCACATCGGTCTGAAGAGGCAGAGTGAGAGGAAGCAGAGATGGGTGTGAAGCACTGTAGTGGGGAGACTCACAGAGGTGGGGCAAAAGTGCAGGTGAGGGTGGGATTCATGACCTTGTTGTGTAACGGGCTGGGAGTAGGGAAGAACAGGCCCCAGAAACCACATGGCAACAGACATCAGAGTAGAGACTAGGGTCCAGGAATCTCAGCCCCAACAGCCTCCTTCTATCCACCTTCTACATAAGTCAGTTGCCTACATCAAACTACATCCTCATGGAAGACACTAAGTGCCAGATAATGAAGGTCCATTTTTACCTTATCTGCTACAATACAGTTCATGATCTGTATTCATGTGTTATATCCTCACTTGCCTCACCCAAAGGCAAATCTGGAAATGTCATCATTTCCTACGTTTGTGTCAAAGAATCCAGAGAGAATCAGATGGACTCACCACCCCTTTAGATAGTGGGGCTGCAGCATCTCCCCTTCAAGTCTTTGCCCCTGAGATGCAAGAGCTCTGCTTGGCTCTGAGCTCAGTAATATTTCCAATTAGAATTATTTTAAACCTGTGTTGTCATGTCTTGGCAGACATAATGGAAGATGCTAAAGGCATATCTCTATCTAAAAAACCTAAAACCCAAGCCTCTTGCCGATGAATCAATTCTGACTCATGGCAGCCTCATGTCTTACCAAGTAGCACTATGCCTCACAGGGTTTTCTTGGCTGTGATCTCTAAGCAAACTGTCAGGCCTTTCTTCTGTGGTGCCACTGGGTGCATTCAAACCACCAATCTTAAGGTTAGTGGTTGACCGTGATGTGTTTGTGCCACCTCCATGTGTTTCTGTATTTGTGCCTATCTGTACATTTCTATAGGAGCCCTGGTGGCATAGTGCCTAAGGCATTTGTCTGCTAACCAGAAGGCTGGCAGTTCAAACCCACCAGCCACTCCTGGTAAGAAAGATTGGGCAATCTACTTCTGTAGTGGTACTATTTCGCAGACCCAAGAATGGGTCACTATGAGTTGGATCCGACTCAATGGCAGTGCGTTTGGTTGGGTTTGTACATCTCTATGCATACAGATACATAACCCAAGGACCTTGGATCCCCCACTTGTAGACACAACCAGTTACCTGGTCAGGATTGTGCATGAGAGGACAGTTGTCACAGTGATCCCCGACCCCATCACCATCTGTGTCTCTCTGGTCAGTGTTGTAGACATAGGGACAATTGTCTCGTTCATTGAAGACATCTGCAGGCATTCAGAGAAAGAAATGGGAGCACAGTACATTTAGGAAAAATGCATTACTTTTCTTTTTGCATTAATGTACAGTCAAACTTTAATTTCTAAAAAGGTCTAAGAATATGGAAGAATTTAGAGATTCCTAGGCTCATGAGAGAACATATGTCATATTTCTCTTAAAATCTAAAGTTCCTTCATTTAAAATAGAATCAATGCTTGGAGATCCTGGGTCATGCCACATAGGTGGTGTAATTCAATGTATTTCCCTGGGATGCATCTTTGAGCTACTGTATCAGTCATTCTCCCAGAGAGCTTTTCAGAAAACATGTACTGGGTCCCTAGGAACTGACTAGCTCCCAGGATGGTGCCTGTTTGTTATTACAATGCAGAGATTCATGGGATTTTAGATGTAATACATATTTGAAGAAGTCTGGGAGTAGATAATGGACCAGTAACACTGGAGTGATGACGAATCACACATCAGCAGTGGACTGTGGTAACACCATCTATGACACACGCACTGAGAGGCACATGGCACAGAGCAAGAGTCCAGAGGGAGGGGAGCTCAGTCTCGTTCTCAGTCAGGTAGGGGCTGAGCAAGGAGGTGGCTGTCCAGCAACAGGGCTGAGGCTGAGAAGGGACCCCTAAAATGCAGCTGGCACCTGGTGGATGCCAACAGAAACCACAGCTCCCCAGTGGTGCCAAGCTGCCAGCAAGTGTGAGATTCAGCCACTGTCTCTGAGGTAGTGGATCCCCTGAAAAGATTATGTGATGACACAAGCAGCCAGAATGCTCCTTGGAAGCGAGAATGGCCAGACTTCGCCTCTGATACTTGGGTCACTGTCAGAAGGGACAAGTCCCTGGAGAAAGATATCATGCTGGTAAAGTAGAGGGTCAGTGAAAAAGGGGGAGGCCCTCAATGAAATGGATCGACACAGTGGCTGCAACAATGGACTCAAGGATGACAAGGAATGTGAGGATGGCTCAGGACCTGGCAGTGTTCCATTCTACTGAAGGTAGGGTCACTGTGAGTGGGAGCCAACTCCACGGCCCTTGTCAGCAATACTTAGTGGGCACAGAGTTTCTGTGGAGGTCATAAAAACCTTGGGACATAGTGACGATGGCTGTACAATGTGGTGAACATCTTCCTTTCATGCCACTGAATTGTCCACTTAGAAATGGCTCAAGGGACAGTGACTAACTTTGTTGAGAGTGTGTGTATGTAAAAACTAATCTGGAAAATAACATAGCATGAGACAAACAAGTACGTTAGAGTGAGTCCAGGAAGCCATAGCCGGTAGTGCAGGGGACATGCCTTGGCAGAGTGATGGTGCTGCTCAGGCCAGGACAGACATCACGGGGCTGAGCACCAGCCAGCTCCCAGATGAGCTGAGTTCATGGCCTGCCATTTCCATGGGAATGCTGCTGATCTCTGCACCCAGTGGGAAGGGGTGGACAGAGGGACTGGGCTCAGAGTGAAGAAGCAGGTGTGATGTCAGAGATAACCATACATGGAAAAATTAGAAATAAGGTAGAGATGAGAGTGCCCTATGAGGGACGAGTGGCCCACAGACATTTTCAGAAGTGCAGTGTGGCAAAGAGAAGGCCAGGGTCCATGGAGTTTTGAGTGGAGGAGCTTAGAAGAGAGGTCATGAAGAAGGCCAGAGCACAGGACTCAAAGAAAGAAGATGTAAGGTCGTTATTGCTGCCGTCGGGTCGCCTTGCCTCTTGGCTACCCCATGCTCTGCTGTGCACAGTATAGCTGTGGTGCACAGGCTTTTCACTGACTGATTTTTAGAAGTGGCACTCCAGGCCTTTCTTCCTAGTCCTTCGTCGTCTGGGAGCTCCACTGAAACTTGTTCAGCATCACAGCAACCCACAAATTTCCATTGGCAGATGGGTGGTGTTTGCACCAGACAGAGGTGCTCTGGCCAGAATTGGGAGTCTCCCACACGGAGGGTGAGAATTCTACCACTAAACCACCAATGCCTCACGCCAGACATATGGTTTTCTAAAGAGTGGTCCTGAGGCTGGTGAGCTCTGTCACAGCCGCATGGGAAAAGATGAAGTGTAGAGAGGCAGAATGAGGATCGACTTCTATGAGGATAGTTTAATGAATTGCTCTTATACGGGAGACTCTGGGTGGCACAGTTAATGCAGTTGGCTGCTGACTAGAAGTTTGGAGGTTCAAGTCCACTCAGAGGGACCTTGGAGGAAAGGCCTGGCAATCTGATTCCACAAAATCAGCCACTGAAAACCCCGTGGGAAACAGTGCTGCTCTAACACATGGGGGAGCCCTGGGAGCTGAAGTCGAGTCCAGGACGGGACTGAAGTGGAGCTGAAGCAACGCGTCCAAACTGGAACATGACGAGTGCAAGCCCTGCTGATGGGGGGCCTTCGCGTGCACATGTGACCACGAATACAGAACTGACCGTCCCCGTCGATGTCCACAGAGCAGGCGTCGCCCTCGCCATTGTTGTCCGTGTCGATCTGTGCTGGGTTGTGCACATACGGACAGTTGTCACAGCGGTCCCCAACCTCATCTTTGTCATAGTCAAACTGGCGGGGGTTGAATAGAAGCTGGCAATTGTCCTGGGGGAAAAATAAATACAGAATTTAAGAAATAGCACACAACTGTTTATTCTATCATAACACTGCTGAAGGCTTACATGTTACCTGCTCAGAGTCGATCCCAACAGCCAACGCAGGAACAAAGAATGCATGAAGCCAATTAACCCTAGCAAAACACTTCCTCCACAAGCATTGTTTTATACGCAAGCATGCATTTGTCTTGTTAAAGACTTTCAGATTTTCAAACCCAAAGACAACACAGCAAATACATTGTGTCAAGAATAGATTCGTAAATATCAAATGACTGAATAAACGAGCCAATGAATGAATGAAAGTCATATGTAGGAAAGATACGAATAAAAATACAGGCATCTGATCCCTGCTAGTGCTGTAGTGTGCACTGTTATGTTAAGTCATTCATGTTCTGCAACACTTTTTCAGAAAAACGAAAATACCACCATAGAGTCGAGTGTATCATTAGGTTGGTGAGTGTCATTGCTGGCAGTCCACAACTAAGAAGGGAAGTGGATACATTCCTTTCTATGCAGTTACCAGGGAGCTACATGATTAGAAACATTTCCAGCCAAGCACCCCAGGCAGCACTGCTCATGGGGAACTGCTGTGTACATGACTAGCGTTCCCTATTAGGACTGGTAGAAATCGTTGACACTGACAAAGACTATTCAGCTTGACTGATCTCCTTCTGACCTCCCTGCTCCTCCAGGAGAGAACGAGGCAAGAGGCTGCAGCCTACCTTCTCGTCATTCACCCCATCGTTGTCATCGTCTTCATCACAAGCATCCCCGATCCCGTCCTTGTCAAAATCTTCTTGCCCAGAATTAGGCAGATGGGGGCAGTTATCCTGCAATTAAAAAAATATAATACTAACCTAATTAGAGAAAGTGTAATAATTCTGCCCCAAGTCATGGTATATTCAACCACCTCATACGCAGGTGAAAGCTGGGCCGTGGAAGAGGAAGACAGAAGACCTGGTGCATTGGAAGTGTGGTGTGGTGAGGGATGTACCTGGGACTGCCAGAAGAGTAAACAGACTTAGTCTTAGAAGAAATACAACCTGACTCCTCCTTAGAAGTGAGGTTGATGAGACTTCAACACACTTTGCACACACCATTAGGAAAGATCAATCACCAAAAAAGGACATCATGTTTGGTAAAGAGCCATCGCAAATGAGGACAACCCCCCACGCGACGCAGTGACTCAAACATTCCATCAACTGTGGACTCAAACCAGTCCATCAATCGTGAAGACGGGGCAAGACCCAGAAGCATTTCACTCAGTTGTATTTGGTGTCAGAGGGGACTAGGGGGCAAGCACATCAATCCTGGAAGCATTCTGACAAACCTCCCTCTTTCAGTAAAGTGGGGTAACCCTCAGCCACATCCGCAGTGGGAAACACGAGCGACTTCCTGGGCTTATTTGGTGACTAAGTCTGTTGTTCTATCACCGTCCTGGTTATTCTTTCTACAGAATTTCAGGCAAGAATTAATCTCAAAAACAGGTCATTCTACTTCATACGTGTGTGTCCATGGGTCTGTAAACAGCTCATTGTAGTTCATACATGTGTCCATGTATCTGTAAACAGCTCATTCTAATCCAAAAATGTGTGTGTTCATGTGTCTGTAAACAGCTCATTCTACTTCATACATGTGTGTTCAAGTGTCTGTAAATAGCTCATTCTAGTCCACAGTGTGTGTCCATGTGTCTATAAGCAGCTCATTATAATTCATTCGTGTGAGTCCATGTGTCTGGAAACAGCTCATCCTAGTTCATACGTGTGTTTCCATATGCTTGTAAACAGCTTATTCTAATTCATATGTATGTGTCCATGTGTCCATAAAAGCAAACCAGTGGTTATTGAGGCGACTCCAACCCTGGGCACTGAGTCGCAGGTACTAGAATATGTCTTTTTCTGCAGGGGCTGCGCTAGGGATCATGCCTCTGCTGCAGGGGGTTTGAGACAAAAGGGACTTGTTTCTGAGCCCTGGATGCTGGTGATGTTGCCAAACAACCTAGGCAACGAGCAGAGTAAGGAGCCAGCCTTCGGGGTGAAAGCAGGACCGAGTGTGTATGTGCCTTCCCTTCCCACCACCTTCAACTCACAGATCAATGAGCCAGAGCCTCACCAGCCGTCAGGCTCAAAGGAAAGAGCTCTTTCAAAGGGGCTGAGCTCGTTCCAGAAAGGACACAGAGGACCTGACAATGCTTCCTCTCCCTCAGCTCGCTTTAGTTAGTTGGTAACACCAGCACGAAACAAAGAAAATTATGAAGTTTTTCTGTTTCCAGCATGGCCATAATGTGAGCCAATACTGTGCAGACGTTAATAACTGGAGGAAATGGAGACAGAAACGGCAGTGGCACTCATGTGTGTCCCACGGAAGCCCAGGGTCACATGGACACTTGTCTCCTCAGAAGCACAGCCCATGGGAGCTGTCCTGAGCCAGTTTCCACATGACTGAAAAGAGAAGCACATCATGGCACGCAGTGGAGCACTTCACACCGGTCTGGGTATGTGCGAGCATCGACTGGAGAAGATCTCCACCCAGTTACACAAATGCATCCAGAAGGGCACTTGGGAGAGGCGCGTGGCCCCAGTCACTGATACCCCCACTGCCCCCCACCCCCCGAGGTGGGCAGAAAGCAGTCCTTCTTAGGGCTGTGCTCTTATCTATGAGAGGAATTCTGACAGAAATACAGGAATATGGGGGAGATGGGCATTTCCTATTGTTTGTGCCAATAAGTCAGTTCACATCTGCCATGAACGACTTGTCCTGACTTCACTAGAACCAAGGGTGGCCTAAGCATTTGAGTTGTAGAGATGCCAAAAGTTAACACGCTCAGCTGCTACACAAGGTTTGCAGGTTCAAATCACCAGAGATGCCTTCAGAGAAAGGCCTGGATATCTGCTTCTGACAGGTCAGCCACTGGAACAGCCCCACCCTGGCACGCAGGCTCACGAGTCAGAGTCAACTCAGCTGCCGCGAGGTCACTGGCTGGGCCCCATCCCCGGCTGCAGTGCCCTCACACGCCACCCCCCTACCTTGACGCAGTGGTAGCTGGCATTGGTGGCACAGACCAGGTTCTTGTTGGGCCAGCCGTCCAGGTCTGAATCCTCCCCACAGATGAGGCCATCCCCAGCGTACCCTGTTTGACACTCGCACTTGTACATGGGGTCACTGAAGTGGCCCAGGTAGATGCATTCGGCATGCCTGTGGCAGTGGTGTGTCTTGTCTTTGCATGGGTTCTCAGGCTCGCACACCTGTGGAAGACATGGCTGTGTGAGCACTTGTGTCAGGCACCACAGGCATACATACATGTGCCCTAGGTTCTCTCCTCAAAGGGCTGCTGTGGAGACCACAATGCTGAGCAGGAAGCAAGAAACTTGGGATTATATATTTCCATGGAGATGGCTGGGGCATGCCTTGGTTATTCTACTGAGTGATAAAAACAGCATTCCCAAGCCTGAGAAAGAAGGCTTATGTGGGATATGGCTGCAGTTCAAGAAAGTAACCTGGCCCTGATCCTGCAGGGTGCTTTGTATTCCAATAAGGTCTGGCTCGCTGGGCAAACAGGGTCACTCTTTCTGCAGTTCTGGAGAGCACTTCCTGTCCTTTCCTGTCCCATCAATACTGCATGTGCTTCTCCGTCATCTCCATCAGTACATCCTTCTTTTGGACTCTTGCTGATAAAGAAGGAGGAGGAAGGGAGGGGAAGAAGGAAGTAGGGAGGAAGAGGAAGGAAGAGGGGGAGGAAGACAGAGGAAGGAAGAGGGGGAGGAAGACAGAGGAAGGAAGGGGGAGAGGAGGACAGAGGGAGTAAGGGGGAGAGGAAGACAGAGGGAGGAAGGGGAGAGGGAGGAAGGGGAGAGGGGGACAGAGGGAGGAAGGGGGAGAGGAAGACAGAGGGAGGGAGAGGGAGAGGGGGACAGAGGGAGGAAGGGGAGAGGGGGACAGAGGGAGGAAGGGGAGAGGAGGACAGAGGAAGGGAGAGCCTCACGACACAGCAGGTGGCCCACATGACTCACTTGTTTCTCTGTCCTGGCCGCCTCCAGGCCAACCCCGAATGGCTGGCTCCCCTTGTAGCGTGGGGGGCAGGGCAGGCAATGGAAGCCAGGGTTGGTGTTCACGCAGCGGTGGGCCTTGTTTGTCGTGAAGCAGATGTCAGTGACCACGGCACACTGCAGGGGCCAAGCAGATGATGGGCAGTAGGTCCTGGGCCCTCGGGTAAAGCCCCCACCCCGTGATCAGCTGGGAAGTGCACCTACCTCATCCAAGTCCTCACAGTGTGTGCCATTGCCCAGGAAGCCGGCTGGACAGGAACTGCAGGACCAGGAGCCATCGGGAAAGCTGTTGCATTCTGCCCCCGGGAAGCAGGGGTTAGACAGACAACCATCTGTGGGGGAGGGCAGGCAGGGTCAGTGACCTGATACAACATCGCCCTGTTTTAACCACACCCGGAGCCACTCAGAAACACAAAAACACCATTGGGCCTGGGGCAGGGCCTCGCCACTAGTTATCCTGGAACTGTGCTAGTTGAGAATTTTTTGCTGATGAAGCAGCAGCAGCTTAGCATCAAAGTCGCTATCTCCAAAGAGACTGATCAAGTGACAAAAATGTTGCAGGTTACAGCAGAATGGGAGCAGTAAGATCCAGCTGTAGCCCTGGTCACATTTTGTGCTTTCCCATGAAAAACTGAAGGCACATCCCAGATGATAAAAGTGGACAACCTGTGTCATGGGTGGACACGGGAAGAAGGTTGTTACTTCTGCACACACCACAATAAAAAATGTATTGGAACAGGTTATTGATGGAGGTGATTTTTTAAAAAACTGAAGCAGTTGTCTTTGCAGTGAGAACAGAACTGAGTTCCAATTTCTATTCTGTTTCCCAGCTCTGATCCAGCTGATATTTGCACTTTCAACAGGATGAAAACCCAATGATTTTTTTCAAAGAGGGCAGAAGGTCTTGGCACCATGGACAGACCACAACTTTGCACGCAGAAGGCCATGGACCCACTCACACTCCCTGTCCACCATCAACACAGCCTGTCCACCATCAAAATGTCTTGTTCACCACTGACATGCACTGTCCTCCCACCAACACACCCGTGGACCCAACAATATGCCCCGTCCACCAGTAACACTGCCTGTCTACCATTGACAAGCCCCATTCACTGACATACACCATCCACCCACCAACATTCCTGCAAACCCAATGACATGCCCCATCCACCCAGATACTGGCACTGTGTCCACCCCCAACATGCCCATGACCACCACCATCACAACTGTACCCACTCTCAATGCATCCCATCCACCCCCTAGCACATCCTGTCCACCCAGCCACCCCAGCCACCCCCAATGTGCCCCATCCAACACCAGCTACCCTGTCCACCCCAATGTGCCCCATCCACCCTCGACCACCCCATCAACCCCTGCTCAGCCCACCTCTGGCTGCCCCGTCCACCCACCAACAGGGCAGCTCCTCCGGTTACACATGTGCTGCTCTTTGGTGTCACCCACACAGGCCTTTCCTCCATGCTGGGGCTCTGGGCTGTTGCAGACCCGTGTGCGTTCACGGATACCACCAGCACACGTGACAGTGCATGCTGACCATGGGGACCAGGGGCTCCACCGGCCATCAACTGTGGGGACCACAAACAAAGGGAAGAACACAGGGAGGATCAGGGACCAGGAAAGGCCATTTGACACTGGTGAACAAAGTGTGTGCGTGGGGAGCAAGACGTCCCACACACTGCAGAAAAACCGCTCTGTTTTGCTTGACTGTAAGCACGTGTCCCTGGGAACTACAAAGTTTAATGTGCTTGGCTTCTCACTAAAAGGTTGAAAGTTCGAGGCTACCCAGGCACCTCGGAAGAAAGGCTTGGTGACCTGCTTCTGAAGAAACAGCTGCAGAATACCTTGCAGAGCACAGTTCTGCTCCAAGCTGACTGCACATGATGGGTCTTTGGTTGTTCCTCCCTCGCTTACACCCTGCTTCGTGCACAGTTGTGCCCCTTGGGATCCAACATTTCCTCAGCATTTCTCCTCCCTGTCAGTTTCCTGCATTAACCAGTCATTCTGTTGTCCACCATGCTACCCCACCTGACATTGGGCCTCCTGACCTCGAGCCATCTTCCCAACCAGAGCAGATGTCCCTCTAGTAAGTGCCGCCACCAGTACAGTTACCATGGAGCTGATTCCAACTCCTGGGGATCCCCTGACCCCAGGACTTGGGAGCAACCCAGATGGTGGCAATCCACAGTGCTGTGTCTTCACGCCTGGGAAGGACACTCACGCAAACTACCTTTAGAAGCATAGAACTGGGAACAGTGCTGGAATTATTGGCACACTCTGTAACACAGACGTGGTCGTTTCTGAGAAATTATTTAAACTTGACTTTTGTCATTACTCTTTTGCACAAAGGAGAAATCTGGGACGGAAGCCATTTCCTATGCCCTCCTTCCCCCTGAGTGCTGTCAGGAAGTGCATTTCCTTGAGGAAGGGTCCATGAGCCTTCAATTCCCTGCTTTCTATATCCTATGGTGCCGGCTGACTCGGACACCGAGCCACACTGTGATGTCGCGTCACATTCTCATGACATCCTCTGCCTTCTGCTGTCTGCCCAGTCAAAAGTGTTACTCTCACTGTGTCCAAGCCTTTCCACTGCCGGTCAGCCTGTGAAATGCATGGAGCCCAGGCAAGTGACCCCCGTTCTGAAGGCTCCATCCCCAAAGCAGCCAATCCAGGGGACCTCAGAACAAGTGTGCTACATTCCCCTGGAACTACATTGGTTGTCGTCCAGGTGGATGCTGGCCTGGGCTGACCACGGACTGCACCCAAGCACCTGTCGCAGCTGCACTTTTCGCCAAACACGCTCCTGTACCACCATCCGCCAGCAAGCACAGCTTCAGTGCCCCACACACTTACCGGGACAGGGGATGATGCTCTGGCAGGTCTTTGTCTCACGGCCACTCCCCTTGCAGTTCTTGCCACCCATCTGTGGGACTGGGGAATTGCAGAGTCGGATTCGAGTGACGTTGCCGACTCCACAGCTTGTGGAGCAGGAGGACCAGGGGGACCAGTGACTCCAGCCGCCGTCTTGCCGGACTGCACGTGGGAACACAGCACAAGGATATCAATACACAGAGAGGCCCAGGGAGCTGGCCTGAGGCCAGACATCTGCCCTCTCACTGACTACTGTGTCAGAGCTGGGGAGAAGATGACATGGGAGTAGCTGCCTCAGGCCAGAGAGAAACAGAAGATTCACTGGGCCAGAACCTGACAGAAAGGAATGGCCAGTGTAAAGCCTTCAGGGCTACAGATGAAAACTGACTTTCCAAAGTCAGAAGGCTAAAGACTTGCCTTCTGGCATCAAGATAAGTAACAAAGGTGATGGGGCATGAGGCACCAACACTGGGGTCATCTCCCTGACCTGGAACTGTGTCCCCCACACTCACTGCAATCTTCACACTGACCAAGGCAGCACTCCCCGTGCTCACTACAGGTCATCACTCTGACTGAGAGTGCTCTCTTCATACTCACTGTGGTCATCACACTGACGGGGAGAGGTGTTCCCCATACTCACTGTGGTCATCACATTGACCAGGGGCAGTGCTCCCTTGTACTCACTGCAGGTCATCACACTGACTGGGATAGATGCTCCCCACACTCTCTGTGCTCAACACACTGACCAGGAGAGGTGATCCCCACACTCACTGCGGTCGTCGCACTTGCCCAGGCTGCACAACCTTGTCTGAATGGAGGGCCCCAGGCAAGTGTTGCTGGTGACGTCACATGACCGTCCTCTCTGCTGGGTCCCCGAGCCACAGGTAACTGAGCACTCAGTCCACTCTGCCCAAGGAGACCAGCCCTCATCACTGTCTTCAGCTGTGGACAGAGGAAGCACAACAGCCTTAGATCACACCATCCATATTATGGTCATAAATGAAACAGAAATGGCCCACAGCTCATGAGACAGCACACACCACACAGGATATGAACGTGCCACTGCCTGGTAGAGGGAGGGAGACTTCCTTGTTGGCAAACGAGTCCAGAGTCACCAGATGCCCTTGGGTCTTAGGAATTCAGCACTGGCCTTCCCTGTACAAAACAGGGAGGAGTGGTTTGGTGATGTCATCTCTGTGAATGAGGCCTGAAGAGGACCACAGGCCCAGGACAGGTGAGGTTGTGTTCTGAGGGGTAGGGAGAGACTGGGCCAACTGTGGCCAGGGAAGGCAATTAATAGAGTCTTTAAAAATATCTTCAAAGAATGCATTGAACCACGTTTACATGAAGCTCATTAAAGTTACTAGGATTTACTTCCATCACCATCTTTCTCACTGATTTCTATAAACAAACCACTGCAATTATTGGTTGAAAGGTAAACTCACTGCCATTGAGTCAAGTCTGACTCCAGCAACCCTATGGGGCAGAGCAGAACTTTGGTGGTGGCCTTTGTCTGTTGTCAGTTTTAGTTTCTATTATCTTTCTTCTGGCATCTTCCATATGTGTTTGTGAGGATGGCATGCTGCTGTGATACATTCGTGGATCTAAATAGACTCAGTGGTCTGTATTGACAACCGAGTGGCACTCAGCTCCTAACTAAAAAGCCTGTGGTTTGGATCCACCTAGTAGTGCCACAGAAGAAAGTCCTGGCACTCTGCTTCCATAAAGACTTCAGCCAAGCAAACCTCATGGAGCTCAGTTCTGCTCTGTAACAGATGAGGTCACCCTGAGTTGGAATTGACTCGAGCCAATGGGTTTGGTTTTTGGTTTACTAGGGGCATAAATTCAGGGTCCTTTCTTTATACAGAGGATTCTGGGCAAGTTGGAGCCACAGTGGGGCTCAGTCCCTCATCTGGGAAGTGACGTGACTTGACTAACCACACTGATCCCTGAACTTCTAGGATGCCCTCCTGGGGGTGAGTTGTGCTGGCCATGACACAGTTGGCACTGGATAGTTCTTCTGTGTCTTTCTCATTGATTTGTATCCAGGGGTCTAAGCTGCATGCTCTCTGCCCACATAAACACACATATTAATGAGAGAAAAGAAACCCCAAGACACACAGTCTCCCACTCATGTTTCTGATAGGACTTACCATGGAAGCAGGAGGGGCAGCATTCACCTTCCTCAAAGGAGGGGTTTGCACATGTCACTGGTGGGCAAGTGATTTGGTGGCAAACAGTTTTAAATTTCTACAAGTAAACAAAGGTATTTATATAGCATAACAAAAAAGCTAACTTTGTGAAAGTTGGCATATGGGCTGGCCAACAACATGGCCATAATGCCTTCCACAACCCACAGATCTTGCATGGATAAGTAGAATAGATTGAGAAACAGATCCAGCCCTTTCTCTCATCAGTGTTCAGATCTTCGTGCAGACAGGGGATCCAACATGGCTCTCTGCACCTCTTTCTTCCTTTCACCCATCACAGGAGCTGTGAAGACACAGCAAAGACTGCCCTCCCTCCTATTGGAGGAGAGGGTAAATGGATGGACCGTGTAAACCTGTATTATTTGATGTGAAAGCCACCATCCATGGGAACTGAATAACATTAAATAGAGAGATGGAACTAAGTCATCTCCTATAATATTTACTAGTGACTTGCATTTCCTACATGTTCGTGCTGAACCTCAACACTTAACGGAATTGAGAGGAATTAAACACAGACAGGAAGAGATAGGGTTCTATCCAGCTCTGTCTCCTGCCACCTGTATGACTGTAGCCATGTCACCTGGGTCTCTGGGTTGTGGTTTCCTTACATGCAAACCAAAGAGGTAAGGTAAGTCTTTATCTCTAGGTTTCTTCTACTTCCAGGACTGCTACATCTAGACACATTTTCTACCCAGTCCTTGAACAGTGTCAGTGTATGGGCAGTCCGTGGCAAACAGAGTTACATGTGGCTGCAGAATGAGTGCAGTGTGCAACCATCCTCCTTACATACAAGAAGAATGGCTGCTGGCACCTCACCTTGCAGGTGCAGGTGGTACAGCTATCCACCACCCAGGTCTCATTGTCCGCGAAGAAGCGGCCATCCTGCCAGCATGCCGTCACATTCCTGGTCTTAGGAGGGCCACCCACAAGCTCCCAGAGGAATTGGTTGTCATTCGACTGGAAAATTAAGTTAAATATTTAGGCACAAACCAGAACATGCTGCCCTCAGCTGTCATGTTCATGGACAAGAAGGAGGCTCTTCCATAGAGAGTGGCAACAGCCCAGAACCCACTGGTTATGTGGTTTCTATAATCTGTGTGGACATGAGGCTGAAGAAGTTGGACTGAAGTAAACCTATGCAAAATCATGTTCTCAGTGACCCCAACCAGACAGTGTGCTGCTGTGGTTGTCCATAGAGCTTCACTGTCCTTCAGTGTCTAATTAGCATCTGTGTGCAGATGCTGCTTCCTTCCCATGTCTTTCAGTGGGTCCCCACTGATGGTGGTCCTGCCCTAGAGGGTGAAGACAAGCCTGTTGATGCTGCTGCAGTGCAAGATGGTGGTGGGAGAGGGAGAAGGGCCAACTGGTCAACAGCAGCTGAGAACAAAGGCCCAGTCCATGCACTTCACTCATTTTCTACCTTAGACACTAAGTATGATAGGCACTGTTTGATAAAACAATGCCAAAAAAAAGAGACAATCTTTGCTCTCCTGGGGGTTACAGACTAAGCAAAAAGGCAGAGAAAAAGAAATATATAAAATAAATGAAAACTACATGAAGTCCCTAAAAACTTTTGTGTTCACCTCCTTTCTTCTAACCATTCATCAGGAGAATGTTACATGGGTCACCTTCCCCTAAGTAGTTATTTTTAATTTGGTGGTGATAAGTCTTTCACAATCTATTGACAGATACTTGCAAAATGCACAGAAGACCGCCACCCTGATTTTTTTGTGCAATTTCAGGAAGTTCACAAATTTCTGAATCCCTGACCCCAAGTTAAACCACCTTGTCCTAAAAGCTCTTTTCAGTTTGAGAATAAGGAATGGTCATCATGAGCACAGCTTCAGTGGGAGCAAGAAGAGCCATTTATTCTCTCCTGCTGAAGGTGATGGCTGGCCAGCCATCTCCCTTCTCAGCACTGTCTGGTTTTCCCTTCTCCCCACCTGCCCTTCCTCCCTCCTCCTCACCTGTCCTTCCCCCTTCCCGACACCTGCCTTTCCTGTTTTTTCCTCATGTGTCCTTCCTCCCTCCTGGACACCTACCACTTTCTTCAGGTTCTCGTGCAGCTGGTTCACAATCACGTGCAGCCCGGAAAGCTCATTGATCATGTGGCCTAGCTCTTCACAGGAGTGCTCACACACTTCCGGCTTCTTCTCTGACCTCTGGCCCACGTACTCGGTTGTGACGTGTGGGCTCAGGTGGAGGGTCTCCGTGTTCTCACTGATGGCATTGACCTCCACTGGGGGGAATCACATCAAGAGGGTGAGGGCCCCAAACCCCACTGATGGAGCTTGGCCCTAGAATGTTAGTACCCAGAGGTGAGGCGGAACCCACATTTGGTTTTGGAATAACTTAATGCTAAATTGAAGTCTTCAAGTGGCACAAACAGTTAAGTGCTTCACTACCAGCTGAAAGGCTGAAGATCTGAACCCACCCAAAGTGTCCCAGAAAGCAGGTCTGGTGATCTGCTTCAAAAAACTCAACCATTGAAAACTTGGAGTTTTACTTAGTTCTACTCTGACCCTCAGGAGGTCACCATGAGTCAAGATCAACTCAAGGACAACAACAACAACAATTCTAAGTGACACCCAAGAACAACAGCTGCTTCCAATTATGGCCCAGGCTTTTAAAAAAGAAGTCTGTCCATTCCAAAGCATGTAAAAATAGGACACTGGCAGAGCAATGTCTTAGCTTAGGAATAGGAAAATTTAAAGAGGCTGCCAAAAGAATGAACAAATCAGTCTTAGAAGAAATACAACCAGAATGCTCCTTAGAAGGGAGGAGGACAAGACTTCAGTTCAAGACTTTGGGCATGTTACCAGGAGGGACCATTTGCTAGACATCCCATTTGCTAGAGTAGACAAAAATCCAAACCAAACTCATTCTAAACCAAACCCAATTCTGACTCACTGTGACCCTATTGGACAGAGTAGGACTGACCCATGGAGTATCCAAGGCTGTAATGTCTATGAGAACAGACTGCCACACCTTTCTCCTGTGGACAAGCTGGTGGGTTTGAACTGATGACCTTTAAGTTAGCAGTTGAGCACTTATGCACTGTAGCACCAGGGCTCCTTGGTAGAGTAAAGGGTCAGTGAAAACTTCTTCTTGCATGAGATGGATTGGCATAGTAGTTACAACAATGGACTCAAAGATCCTAATGATCATGAAGAAGGTGCAGATACAGGCAGTGTTCTGTTCTGATGTACATGAGGTACCCGTGAGCCAGAGCTGACTCAATGGAAACTAACAGCATCAATAGACTTTCACAAACACATGTGCTTAAGTTATGCATATGTCTTCAATCTAATTCAAACTGAGATGCAGATAGCAATTCCTTGTTTTTCTGACAATTTCTCATTTTCAGTCCCTATTCTAAGTCTCTTCTTCAAGCACACACTCTCCAAATATTCTGACAACTTGTTTTAACTTCTCATTTCTCTCTTATCCATCCCTAAACATCATTCTTATAACTCCTTGTTCTGCCTTCAAGAAAATTCAGTTGTCTTCAGTGTCAAATAAACAACTTCTTCAAACCATCACCTTCATTTCCCTGATGGACATGCTATCTCTCTGCTGGAATTCAGGGCCCATCCACATTGGTGAAGAGCAGAAACCCACAGGAGCCTGACCCTGAGGAGTCTGCCCTTCATTGCCTGGATGTTGTCCTCAGCCATGTGAAGTATCAGTGCATGGGACACGTGTGAGCATGGCCCATAATCTGGGCACTTGATCCTAAGCAAGTCCAAAAGCAGAAGTCATTAGCACACCAACCTGGGCCTGGCTAGCAATATCAGTGCCAATGGCTCAGCAGGAGCTCACTTGCTTACTCACAACTCAGGGTCACATACTTCAAATGTGCTAGCTCCTTCACACATTCCATCGTTGAGTTACTTACTTACTGTTAAATGTCATAATTCTCTCAAGAAGTTGTTATTAAGTTTTTATTACTTGGTTATACACCCTTTTAGCAATTTTCATTAAGCTTGGAGTCTTCTGCTCAGGTTTGCTACATCTGTAACTATGTAACCAAAACCAAACCAAATTAACTGCTCTCAAGTCAGATCCAACTCATAGTGACCCCTCCTTGGATTTCCAAGGCAGTATCACTATGGAAGTAGATTGCCCAACCTTCCATCTGAGGAGTTGCTGGTGGGTTTGAACTGCCAGCCTTTTAGTTAGCAGTCAAATGCCTCAGACATACTAAATCCTTCCCAAGTATGACTTTGAATATATCCCACCTGAATTTAGAGACCATCTCAAGAAAATATCTGATGCATGGGACACTCATGGTTGAAGACCAGATGAGTTATGAGATTACACCAAGCATTTCACAGATGAATAAATAAAAAAAATCATTCCCAATAAAACCCATTGTCATTGAGTCAGACTCAAGACAAAGTAGAACTGCTCCTCAGATTTTCCAAGGCTGGAAATCTTTACAGAAGCAGATTGACTCATCTTTCTCCCTTGAAGCAGCTGGTTGGTTTGAACCACTGACCTTTTGGTTAGCAGCCCAATGTTTTAACCACTATGCAACCAGAGCTCCTAAAAGATCATTAGGGAAAAAAAAGAAAAAAAAAAGAAAGACCAAAATGGATGTCAGAAGAGACTCTGAAACTTACTCTTGAATGCACCAAACTTTCTCTTGAATGTACTTAAATATAGCTAAAGCAAATGGAAGAAATGATAACACTATAGGTGGAGGGAAGATTTCAAAGGGCAGCTTTAGAAAACAAGTATTAGAGTGAAATGTGCAAAGACACAGAATCAGAAAACCAAAAGTAAACAACACATTTGGCATTTCTCAAGGGGAAAGAACTGAAAAAAACTTCAAGCCTCAAGTTGCACTATTGAGGGATTCTATGAGCAAAATATTGAATGATATTAAGATAGAAAGAACACAAATCACTGTACTAAAAAAAAAAAAAATGTTGATGTTTAGCCATTTCAGGAGGTAGCATATGGTGAAGAACTGACGGTACTAAAGGAAGAAACTTACACTACAACAGTAGTGTCTGATGGCAGCTGATGTCTTGGCCTTTCAGAAAGTTGTGCATTATTAGTGATGGCCAAAACAGGGCAATGGGCCAACCCAAAGGGACACTTGGTGGCATTTCAGCAGGAGCCAGAAGACAGGGGATGAGATAGGGCCTGAGCCACTGCTTCTGTTGCCAATGAGGAGTCTGGAATTGGGAGTGTGTATGACAAGGCACTAACCATGCCTTTGGTCACAACAGACTCCAGGCCAGGACCACAATGATAATATCTCTTACCCCTCCATGCCTCGACTGACCAATAGATCAAAAGGCATGCAGCCCTAGGTTTGCAAGTCCTTCAGCTTGGTCACTGGCTCATGATGAACCAATGACACCAAGGGGCAGTAGGAGGAGGAAGTTGCTTTTGCAAATGCACAAAGCCAGGGTCCCAGCGAGACTGAGTCATCCAAGTAGGAACCCCTTTGGAAGTGGACGGCCAGACCATATGGCCATAATCATGCATTAAAGTCATCAGTCCTACACACATTTCACATAGTGGTCCACACAAAAACAGCTTACATCTGCCGTAACTTAGAGTTGAAATGAAGAAGACGTCTTCATGAAAAACCTACAACTGGAATCATTACCATGTAAGGTCAGCACCCTCTGTCAGTGTGTCACACTGCAATTGCATATGGCTGTGATGCTGAGAGCTATGGCTATGGTATTTCAAATAACAGCAAGGTCACCATGGGGACAGGTTTCAGCAGAGCTTCCAGTTCAAGACAGATTAGGGACAAAAGCCTGGTGCTCTCCTTCTGATGATCAATGAAGACTGTCTGATATTTTGCTAGAAGATGAGCCTCCTAGGATGGAGGGCTGGTGAAATGCACAGCAGCCAGCACAGTGCATGGCAACCTGCCCATAATAATGAAGATGGTGGTGGACCCTGTAGTGTTTGTTCTGTGCCTGGGGCCACATGAGTCAAAGCCAATTCAATGGCAACTAACAGAAAGCATATAAGAGCTTTTGCTTTTGAGTCTGTCAGACAAACCCAGGCCACTGCTTATTAGAAAGTTAAACTCAGCAACTAGCATAAACTCTTAGGCCATAGCTGTTTTACTTGTAAAATGAAGAGAACTAAAGTACCAATCTCATGAAGTTATTCTGAAGATCAAATCATCTATTTAAAGTGCCTGGCATAGTGACTTCCATAAATTAAAAGTTCAAGAAAAGGTAATTCAAGTCTAAGACAGCATAATTTAAAGCAGCAATTAACGGACAATGGGATTATCTGTAGATGATTCAAGGAGCATAAGTTTTCATAATTGGACAGTATTGACAAAAATGAATAGTGTAAGAACATTTCCTGGTTTGCTATATGCAGGGGATTTTCACATCTGAATAGGCTGTAAGAGTTATACATATTGCAAATCAATTTTAAATGCCAGTGATTTAAACTGGCTTGTAAAATGGAAAACAAAACAAAACAAAACAAAATAAAAACTTTGGATTATAAAAATCTACTCAAAAGCAACCCTACAAGCAAGTTATCATTTTCAGATGTCAACATGTCTAAGCTGACTAGGTAACTCCTATAAGGACAATGATGGCACTTTATTAAAACACTCTTACTAAAATCCCCACTAGCACCATTTCCCACACATGCACACACACATAGACATACACACATATACACAGACACATGGAGGAGACATGTGTCTGTGTATATGTTCAAGGCAGAGAACAGAGGACATTGTCCCAAACACACCCACCTTCCTGGCTTTGCTGGCAACCTTGCTTGCTTAGAACATCTTCCACAGAATTGCCAAACACTAGGTACACATTTTGAAGCAAACCCTGTAAATATACACAAAGGGAGAGAGAGAGAGAACAGATAAACAATGAGCCTTTGAGGCCAAGGTAAATGACACCTTATGAACCGAAATATCATCTTAAGTCATGATAATCATTTCCCCCATGTCTCACATTCTATAGTTCTGAGACCTTTTGTCGTTGATTGTCCCCAACATAAGGCATTTTTGAAACTTTGTTTTCGATGCAGCACAGAAAGTGGGAGTTTGATGTGAGAAGGTGTTCTACAGAGAATGAACGTGGCCCCAAGAGTGACAGGTAAATTCTCTGCACTGAATGTGCTCTTCTGGACGTTGCAGGGGACGCTGGTGAATACAGTGTTCTTGCATTAGCCTAAAGGCCTTGGAAACATCCCCTGGTCCAGTTGTGGTCCATGTAAAAGCCCAGACAGCAGGTCTCCTGGTCTGGCTTCAGCCTGTGGTCCTTACATAAGCACAGATATCAGGTCCCTTGGTCAGGCTATAGTTCCCATGGTCCATATAGGAGTATAGACAGCAGGGCCCCTGGTCTGGCCACAGTCCATGTAGGAACACACACAGCAGGGCCCCTAGTGCAGCCACAGCCCATGAAGCACCCAGAAACAGGTCCCCTGGTTTGGCTGCAGTCTGTGGTCCTTGTAGGAACACAGATATCCGGTCTCCTGGTCCAGCTACAATCGGTGATACATGTAGGGGCACAGACAGCAAGTCCCTGGTCCAGCTTCTCTGTATGGTCCTTGTAGGAGCATACATATCAGATCCCCTGGTCCAGCCACAGTCCATGTGGGAGCACACAGAACAGGTCCCCTGGGCCAACTGTTGTCCATGTAGGAGCCCAGACAGCAGGTCCCCTGGTCCAGCTGCAGTCTGTGGTCCTTGTAGGAACACAGATATCAGGTCTCCTGGTCTGGCTACAGTCAGTGATGCATGTTGGAGCACAGACAGCAGGACCTCTGGTCCAGCCACAGTCCATGGCCCAGGTAGGAGCACAGACAGCAGGTCTACCAGAGCCTCCCATGCACAAGTGGTCATAGTCATTTACAACAAGAGCTGGTCATCATCAGACTGAGCCACTGGAGCTTCCCGATGACCACAGTGATTCTTTCAATAACAAGTCAAGCGTTTCTAAGGCTTTTACTCAAACAACTGAGTTTAACCATATTCACTTCCAAGGAAGACATGCACATCTGGAAGAGAAAACTGTACTGACCCTCCTGTAGTAGGTGCATTTTAAACACAGGGGTTTTAGAAAGATCCTCTTCCCAAAAAAGTTTCAATCAAAATGAACATTGTACTTGGTGGTGTTGTTGTTGTTGTTATGTGCCGCTGAGTTGGCGCGACTCATAGCGGCCCCTCCTTGGGTTTCCGAGGCTGTATCACTATGGAAGTAGATTGCCCAACCTTTCTTCCAAGGAGTGGCTGGTGGCTTTGAATCCCCTTCATAAATAAAAAGCCCTTCCTTACAAATGGGCAGTTGTTAATTTACTCTCTTATCTTTTCAATACAAAACCAAGAATCTATGAGTTGTTTCAGCTTCAATGAAATGAGACTGGAGTTACTAGAAGGTCTGAATGAGGGTCACTCCCTGACCACTCAATCAGTGACTGACAGGGAAATCTTTGACCATTTGTTGAGTAAGAATGAGCACCAAGTGTCAACTTGCTCTGTTTATTCCTGACCCAGAAAGAGATACATATGCTAGCATGTGTGGGTGTGTGTGTGAGTATATCTGAGAGAATGTGTGAGGTGTGGGAGTGTGGAAATGTGTGGTAGATAACTGGGGGGGGGGGATGGACAGTGTTTGCTATATGTGTGTGTGAGTATCTATGTGTGTGAAGGAATGTGTGTGAGTGTGTGTATGTATGTGAAGGAATGTGTGTGAACGTGTGTGGTATCTCACCAGCACCCCATTTGCACAATCAAACACTGAGAGACACTGTGAAGTCATCTCTCAGCAGTACCTGCCTTCAGCCCTCATGGCTGCCACCTACATACCCTGAAGTGGTTCTCCCTGGAGGACCCTTTGGCCACGAACATCCTGCTCCTCTCCGTCTTCAGCTGCTCATAGAAGGGCTCGTCCAAGGTGAAGCTGTCCATCAGGTCGCAGCCCACGTACAGGCTGTAGGTCTCACCTGTTACTTGCACCGTGATGTTCTTCCACTGGGAGTCAGCCAGGCCCACATCCTCCAGGGAGATGACATGCTGTGCCCCATCCACCCAGTAGGTGAGGTCCAGTGTGTCAGCTGGGCCATTGGAGACAATCTCGAACTGCCTCTGCGTGGCCCCTGGGCCCTCCAAGGCCAGCAGGGTGCCCCGGGACTTGCTGTCCTGTTTCAGGCTGGCCAAGAGGAAGAAGCCCTCCTTCTGCCTCATCATCTTAGCCATTTTGCTGAGGTCCTGGGCGTTGACTGGAGGGATGTAGTCAAAGCGGACAAACCGGTACGCCGGTACACTGGGGTCAGGCCCTCGGAACTGCTTGGCACCAATGGTCTTGCGGTTTATGTTGCTGATACTGAAAAGGTTGAAGGACATATCATCATCCTGGTCACTGGCTGCTGAAGGGAACAGAGGCAAAGAGGTTACCAACAAACAGCAGGCTATGATGTGCACAGCTAGTCTTTATAATCAGATGACAATTGCATATGCAACAAAAGCATGCAGTCACCCAAGATTTTGCTGCTTTTCTTCTTTTCTTAATAGAATGCCAATGCTCTATTTTAAATAAAATGATCATTTTCAATCTTGGAGTCTCTGAGTGGCACACACTACTAGCCATAAGGTGAATGGTTCAAACCTATGCAGAGGTGCCCTGGAAGAAGGTGTGGCAATCCACTTCGAAAAGGTAATGGCCATGAAAACCCTGTGCAGCACAGTTCTGTTCTGCACACGTGGAGTCGTCATGCATCAGACTCAACTTGATGAGAGCTGGCATCCATCCCAGGGCTACTGATGTATGTCCAGAGAAAAGCAGCTGGTCCAGGGAGGTGTTTTGACAGCTTCCAGAGCTTGTGCCCAAATACCAGTCAACAACCTCACTAAGAACATGGTCTAGCTCAGCTGGCATTTTCCACAGCAAGACTTTCCCCATGAAGAAAGCAATGATTGAGTTACACTCTGGGGCAAGTTCTGCTTCTTGTCACAGACCAGGTTTGGCCACACTGATCTTTCCTGTTCTTGCTGTTTATTCCAGACCTAAATCTAAAGGCAGCACTCCACACTACCCTCAGATTACCCAAAGAAAAGGAACATTCCAGAAAATAAATGATGAATTTTCAAAAAGCAACTAAATTACATATTGGTCTCTTGTGGAGGTCATCAAGGTGAACAGTTATGTCCATCTTTCTTTTGTGAAGATAGATTATCCCACTTATGTTACATGCAATGGATGAGAATCTGAAGCAATCATAGGTCTCAGTGCATTCTCAGGAGGTGGCACATTTTACCCTGTGATGGTGAATCTTACATGTCAACTTGACAAGGCTAAGGTTACCAGTGATTTGACCAAACTATAGTCTAGTTGCCGTTTCATGATGTAACAATGTGATATGATCTCATCACCTTCCACACGTAATGCAATGCAAGCAAGCCACTGAAAAGGGAGCTTCCTTAGGGTGTGTTCTGTCTCTGGACTATAAATAGATATTTTGGCAGAACTTGCTTTCTCTTGACTCTGCACCTCTCCTGTCACTCGGGTACATGCCTACAGATGTCTCCAGTCTCTGTCTGATCTCACAATTGCATGAGCCAATCCCTTGAAGTGTATTTCGGTCTCCCTTTCTCTGTCCTTCTCTCTCTCTCAGCACCCTGACATTCTCAATAAATGAATGGTTTTGTCACCCTTTAAGCTACAGGAAAGCTACAGGCAAGAAAAATTGTCAGATCTCACCAAAATCTAACACTTCAAATAATTGAAAATAATTTACTCAGCAAGAAGTTTAAACAAAGCTTAAAGTTTCATCTGACATTTGACAAGTTAAAATTTTAAACTCACAGTGCTGCTTACGGGAGTATGAATTGAGCAACTTTGCAATCAGGCTATTTGGCAATATACCAAGAATGTTGAAAATAATGAAGACTTTGGCTCAGTAGTTCTACTTTAGGAACATATCCTGAGGACATAATCACAAATTCCTAATGATTCATTCACAGCAATATTTACTGTGGCTTCATTTGTGCTGGCTAAAATAAAAGCCTCTGTAATGAAAGTTGGTCTAAAATTTAGGATTAGGGTTTCTCCCTTTGATGGAATACTATAAAGTCATTAAAAAGGATGAGTAAGAAAATAAACATGTAGGAAATAATTACAATGTGTTTTAAGTTAGAAGACATTGGGAAGAGAATAAGTTGCAGACCAGCAAACATTTCCAGTGTTGTAAATATGGGATACAGAGGAAAGATGACTAAAACGTGCAGAGAAGAATGTATCTCTGGGTTTTCTCGAACACCTAATTTTCCAGAATCCATCATTTCACATGATATGTACACAAAAAGTCAACACAGACTATATTTTAAAAGTGGTAAGAAGGTTCCAGCAGGTCAGGTCTGTCTAATTCTCATCTTTCTCAGTGGCCCAGCAAAGGAAAGGACTATGTGAACACTCACCATATGAGGTGGAGGACACCCACAGAGCCAGCAGGGCCAGCTGCCAGAACATCCTGCCCCCTAGGAGAAAATCAAACCCTGGTTAGTTCTGCGCACACAACCACAACACTCACTTTGGGCACAACCTGCTACTGCTGTCTGGGGCTGGCCCTGATGCACGGCGGACCACCCTACACAAAGCAGAACAAAACGCTGCCCGGTCCTGGGCCAGCCTTACAATCTGTTGAGGACAGGACCCTTGTGATCCATGGGGCTCTTGTTGGCCTTTCTCCCGAATGCATCTTAGTCCAGAACCTCCCTGAAGCCAGTTCGGTATCATAGCAAGAGGCAAGCTTCCACAGACAGACACACGGTGGCTGCACATGAGGTGCCCTGGCTGGTGAGGACCTGGGTCTCCCTACCTGTTGGGAGGCTAGAACTCCACCACTGAACAACCACTGCTTCATATTTAAAAGTTTTTGTTGTTGTTATGTGCCGTTGAGTCGGCCCCAACTCATAGCGACCCCTCCTTGGGTTTCCGAGGCAGGATCACTACGGAAGTAAATTGCCCAACCATCCTTCCGAGGAGTGGCTGGTGGGTTTGAACTGCCAGCCTTCTGGTTAGCAGTCAGATGCCTTAGACACTACACTACCAGGGCTCCTTATTTAAAAGTAGTTGCATAGAAAAACCAGAAGTAAACTGATTTGCAGGAAGCTGAAAGGTAGATAAGAAATGTGCCTTTTGAGTGAGATTCTTCTGTTGTAGTTATCACTCACTGGGTCAGTACTTCTTGACAAGCTCTGTGCTAAATGCATTCCAAATACCAGCTTCATTTAATCCTCCTAATGATGTGATATGATAGGACCTCTGGTAGCATAGTGCCTAAGGCACCTGACTGCTTACCAGAAGGCTGGAAGTTCACACCCACCAGCCACTCCTCAGAAGGAAGGTTGGGCAATGTACTTCCATAGTGATACTGCCTGGGAAACTCAAGGAGGGGTCGCTATGAGGCAGATCGGACTCGATGGTGCATAACAACAACAACAAATGATATGATATGAGGTAATCCTATTACTCCCATTTTACAGATGAGTAAGTGCAGGATCTACAAAGTTAAGATCCTGCCTAGAGTGGTGTTTTCAGCAAGTAACATAGCTGGGGACTTTAATCTAAGAAGCCTGGATTTATATATATATATATCATTTCCTTCCTGGTGAAAAATAATCCAATAAACCTAATTTGGCATGTCATACTTCTGAAGAACATAACGTTTTGGTTAGCAAAAATTTTACCCTGCTTTTCTGTTTTCCTCCAGCCTGTTTTTCCATTCTTGAGGATTTTGAATTGGCATGGTCCAACAGTCCTGGGCCAGGAGTCAGAAGCCTGCTGTGCTAACCCCTGCGGGACTCAGGGAGAAGGTGGTTCTGTTCTCTGGCCTCTGTCAGCCACATGGACACAGAGACAGAGTCTTCCAGAAACATCTGTACGTCTTGTTCCAGCTCTGAGCTAAAATGTAATGCCCAATGCCCAACTCAGGAGGTAACAACTCATCATCTTCTGGGTGTTAAAGGAAACCTATCAGACCCCTTCTCCAGAAATATTTGGTAAATTGGAAAGTCTCCTGTCAGTAGTGGAGAACCAATCTGAAATGGAAGGAGAGTGCCCTGCAGGACCCCAGGACCCCTTCCAGTTCTAGAGTCATGCTTTCCCAATGCCAGACACAAACAAAACCACAGCGTGGCCATGCTGAACTTGAACCACTCGCTGGCAGGTGGCAGGAGAGCACAGTGGTTATACCCCAGGCTGCATGGAGTCAAAGCTTAGCCCTGTTGTGGGCCAGTGTATAACCCAGTGTATACACAGTCTCTGTGCCTCAATGTCCTCGTCAATAGAATGAAAAGCATCATTAAAAACTCTGCCTCCTAGGCTGCTAAGAAAAATGAGTGAGACTAACTGATATTTGCAAAACGCTCAGAATAGCATGTGGTGCAGGAAGCATGAGAGTGTTTGTGGAAGACCATACATATTTGTATACCTGGGATGCTTTTGACTGTACAACAGTGATGTTAACAATGTGATAAGGCCTTTGCACAGGTTTGTAAGAGGACTAACATACGTGAGCAAACCCTTGCACTCAGAACAGCACCTGCCACACTGGAGCACCAGTGCAGTGGTTCAAGTGAACAGTGGGCGGACAGGGTATAACATCTGGAAAGTCTCTCTGTGTCCTCTCACCATCTGGCAGATGTGGGCTGTCAGGGGACCTTCTTGCTGCACTCCGGTTTCCCTTATTAAAACCATGTTCTCCAGACAGTTGTGAGGTCTCTGACCCCCGTAAAGTGAAATGCAAAGTCTGGGTACTCACACTCCTGAGAGAGATGTAAGTGGAGTAAACTGAATTCAGGTATTCAGAAATCCCAAGCCCACGGTCTGTCTCAGACTCCTTGGGGCAGACTCCTTGAAAAGTAAAAGTGCTGCAGTGTCAGTAGCTATTGTTTGTCAAGTGAGTCATGGTCCTGCCTTGTCTCCTGGGATGATCACAACAACAACGATCAAGAAACACTAGTGTACCCAGTCAGTGTCAGAGATGTGAGATGGCTGTTGGGTCCACAGTAGATTTCCGCCACTGTCACCAGTGTCTTACACTACGGATCACGGTGGACCACAGGCGATTCTAACCACCATCACCATTGTCAGAGATCCCTGTGAGATTCACAGGGAGTTCCAACTACTTCCACCAGCGTCAGAGATACAAGATAGCTGTCAGATCCACAGGGGATTCCAACCACTATCACCAGTGTCAGACACTATGGCTCACTGTGAGAGCACGGGAGATTCTGACCACCGTCACCAGTGCCAGAGATGATGGACCACTATCAGATCTACAGGGGATCCCGACCACCATCACCAGCGCCAGAGACTATGGATCACTGGCAGGTCCACAGGGGATTCCAGCCACCTCCACCAGTGTCAGAGACTATGGATCTCTATGAGATCACGGAAGATTCTGACCACCTCCACCAGTGTCAGAGATACGAGATGGCTGCCAGACCCACAGGGGATTCTGGCCACCATCACCAGTACCAGAAACTATGGATCACTGTGAGAGCACGGGAGCTTCCGACCACCCCTGCTAGGATACTTGCTTTCACCCATATACATTTATTTGTTGGCTCATGCTTTTACTTATATTTTTCGAAAGGAAAAAAAAAAATGCTAAAACTGTTCTACAACAGAACTTGATTAGGACTTACTAATCTATTCAAATTCTTGTTATATCAATTACCAAAGCAAAAGTTAACTTTACAAAAGGTCAACTTTTACCCAAAACAATGGTGAGAAGGCCAGGGGGTGGTGAGGGAATCTAGATCAATGGAAACAGAACAGAGTGGAAGAAAGGAGGATGCTGCCACAAGGTGAGAACTGTAACCATTGGGCAGAACAATTGGTAGGAAGTGTTAGAAACCCAAAACCAAGCCAAAGCCATTGCCATCAAGTGGGTTCTGACTCGTAGCCACCTTATAAGACAGAGTAGAACGGCCCCACAGGGTTTCCAAGGCTGTCACCTTTACAGAGGGAGACTGCCACATCTTCCTCCAGTGTAGCCGCTGGTGGGTTCAAACCACTGACATTTTGGCTCTTAGCTGAGCACTTAACCATTTCACCACCACCAAAGGAAACCTAACTCGCTGTGTAAACTTCTACCTAAAACACAATAAAAAATAACTTTGGTGAGATATATTTATTTACTTCCATCAAGAGTCCTTCAAATTGCCCTTTCTGGCAAACAAAATAAGGATGGCTACCTTCCATCCTCAGAGGACCAGCTACCTTTCAATGTGCTCCACACTAAGAAACAATCTCACTCCAAGAAGCAGCAGCAGCGAGGCTTTCCCCAAACTTACTTCTGCCATCAGCAGTCCTTGCACCAGACACTCAGATTCCTCTCCACTTTCCAGGGACATTGTTCTTGATTTCCTTCTCTCAGGCCCCCTCTAATGCAGAATCTCTTGCATGGAGGTGAAAATACCAGGATTCCCTGAGGGAGGAGCGAGTGCCAAGGGAGGCCAGGCGCAGGAACGCGAAGTTCACAACCCTGTGCTTCAGCGGCAGGAGCACACTGCAGATGTGGGTGCTGGCCAGTGTTCCCAGATATGCCACCCCAAATGGCAGTGTACGTTTCCCTGCCTCCTCTTAGAAATGACAAGGAACTTTTCTGAACATCAGAGAACAATGACATGATTAGGTAAATTAAAAAACAAAAAACCCTTACCTGGTAGTCTGATGGTTGACCGTTGCTCAGAAGCCAGCCCAGGAAGACTGGTGGGGAGTGGAAAGGCACTCAGCTCAGCACCACGATGCACATGGCCCGGTTCCCCGTGGCAGGCGGGTCCTCCCTTATATGCGCCTCACAGGGGACGCGCTTGATCCATCCCGCAGAGGGCTGACATCATCCCGGTCCTGACCCCACCATTTGCTCCAGTACCTGGAGCAGGAGGCCAAGTCCAGCCCTCTGCCGGGCGGGCTTCCCGCCCTCTCAGCCTGAGGTGCCAGAGGGGCGGGATGGATGCTGAGGGCTCACTCTCCCTGTCCTCCTCAGGAAATAAGAGGCTATAAATAAAACTGGCAGCCCATCTGGAACCCCTGTGCTGCGGAGAAAGAATGCAAGGCTGTGCCTTAAGTCGGCTGCAAATCCCACCCGCAAGCACGGTGCTTCCAAGGACAAGACAGCCCCTGATAAGCACAGAGGGCCAAGTGTGTGAAGTGTCGGTCTGGATGCCAAAGAGGCTGCCCGCTGAATGGGTTTCTTTACCACGAGCAGAGACAGAAATTAATCTCAAAGGGAGCATGCCGACTTTCCTTCAGAATGGCCGATGGCCAAGCAGTACTTATGCAGCTTCGGGGACTTTATTCTCCTTGAACCTGCTTCCTCCCCTCAGCACAGATCCCCCAGACTGGTGTCCCCTACAGGCATCTCGTGTCTGGGCAAGCCAGTGCGAGGGTGTTGTCACGGTGACAGGGAGCAACCCGTCATCGGCTAATCTTCTGACTAGAGGGACAGTCTGCTGTAT